CTGGAACAAAATATGCAGCCTTTTCTAGCTTCATTAGAAGAAGTAAACAGTTCAGCTGCCGTAGGTTTTAAGTGAGGTTCTCTTATCTTTAAACCCGAATTCCCTTTCTTATTACCGTGAGCCAATCGATCGAAAACATTGAAAGATTTAGCTGCTAAAGAAATTCTTTCCTCACTTTCAACTTCACCGCGCAAGAAACATAAAAGGCGCTCAAGGTCAGATTCCCTTTCTCTTAACTCGGCGTTTTCGCCGGTTAAACTTTCTGATCCTTTACGCGAAAACCTAAGTCTCTCCCACGTTTTTAAGACTTCATTCGGCAATGCTGATTCTACCAATGGATATAATATCGCGCAATATTTGCCTCTATTTATTCCCAATATCTCCAAGGCTCTTAGATTAGATTCGAGTTCATCGTATAGTTTCCGCAAAGAGTGTGTACCTTGTTTTTGAATAACAAGGGTTAACAAATCACGAATATAAATCTCCGTTAGTAATTCTTTGTTACCAAAACGCGTCTGCAATGCTTCGATTGCGCTCTTGTAACTATCGCCAGTTGGCGGAAAGCTTTTAACTATTTCCTCTGCGGGAGAATTCTTCTCCATAGCCTGTGCCAAATAAGCAAATTTATCATTATTATCTAATGTAGGATCTTTATCAATCTTTTGGAATTGCCCCCAAAATCCTAGCCATTTCTTCACGTTGCCGTCAAAGATAGGCAATTTAATCTTCGGATAATGTAACATTTTATTCTGAACAAAGGATGGATCGATTAAAGTTACATTCGGGGTACCAGAAGTAAGATCTTTTAGTTTCCACCTATCAAAATATAATTCAGATTCATCTATTTCCTTAATAAGTAAAGTCTCATCTGTAATTTCTTTAAACATTAATTCTCGTATTTTCATTTCAGTATCAAACAAAACTTTAGCTTTCTCGGCAATAACTTTTATTTTAATTAATTTTTCTTCCTGATTAAATTTAGTTTCTTCATTGTCAAATTCATTACAAGCTTTACTGAATAGTCTTCTATATTGAGTTCGTGCTAACTTTAAAGCTTCCATGATTCAAAAATAAAAAAGTCGCTTACCTTGCAGACAATATCCTGTCGCTTGGCGCCAAATGTTGATTTTTCCGATAAATCTTACATGATATATATGACTTCGAATCTAAAATATCTGAAGAACACAAAAACCTTGTCTAAAACTTAAAGGTTTATTTAACTGGAACTTCAACAACGATGAAAACTTAGCATCATAAACGAAAACTTAACATCTTAGGTGGAAATATTCATAATGCTTTAACAGCTATGCCGGAACGGTGAAGAACACTTTCTTTTAAAAGACAAAATCCATATAGCCCTTTCGGCATATATCTCCATTCGCTGGATTCAGACTTCCGCTCCTACGTGTTTTGGACTTAAACGGCCGAACTGGAACTGGAACAGGACTGGATCCGGAACAAGACGGGAACCGGAACAGGACGGGAACCGGAACAAGACGGGAACCGGAACAGGACTGGATCCTGAACAAGACGGGAACCGGAACAGGACGGGAACCGGAACAGGACTGGAACCGGAACAAGACGGGAACCGGAATCTCTCATCCCCTGGCTTCTCCCCCGGGCAGGTCTATTCTGGTTTGATCTAAAATGAACTGCGGTGCCACTAAGTAAAGCACCTCCTTTTATTGACGGCGGTTGCCGTTACTACAGGCGATTATGCAAATATTTAACACTCGTGATTCAAGAAGCGCGCCTACAATCTCGTTTCCCTTCTATTTAAACTAAATTACTTCTGCTAAAATTTGAATACTCTGCGCGTTCTACTACGGTTTACATACTCTGGCATTGGCAATTCCAGGGAAAAGTAAAGGCTTGACAGGAAAGACAGCTTAAACTTAAAATAAATGTTAGTTAAAATTAATATAATCCCTACAAAGTATATGCGTATCAGATAAAAACATTTTTAGTGTTAAAGAAACCAGTCTTGCCTTTCATCCCATGCCTAGCCTCCAAAGACGTTAAATATCAGGGTAAATATCGCTTCCCTATTTTACTCTAACCAAATGCTAATGAAACGGAAGGCGATATCTTATTATGTATTTCTCCCATCTTCTTAGTGTGCCTTCGTGGTTTAGTAGTTAACACACTGAGCCGGTATTTCAGAGGTCCGTGGTTCGATTTCCGGCAAAGGCTCTGCAAATTTTTCATCTCTTGCTTCCAAAAAAGTACCCAATGTCTCTATAGTGGCGCCCGAACTAAAAGGGTTGTGTAGGATGTCTCTCCACACAGGATTTGGCGATTAAGTCATCTAAAAACCCCAGTCGCCCTTTAAAAGGGAGAGTATATGAGGTATTTCTCCCACCTTCTTAGAGTGCCTTCGTGGTAGTGGTCAGCACACTGAGGCGGTATTTCAGAGGTCCGTGTTTCGATTCCCGACGAAGGCTCTGCATGTTTTTCATCTCTCTGGCTTTTCCAATTAACCTAATGTCTCTACAACCTTTACTGATATGAAAGCCAGAAATACCGAGAGATTTCGAAAATATTTGTGGTATTTAGCGATCAAAAGTGGATGTTTTTTATATATTTGCAGAATGGTTGAAGAATATGGCAGGGCATTAAAAAGAAAAAATAATTTTAAAATTACTTTTATTTAATCTTGTGTTATTTAACTTTTGATATTAGATTCTTCCAGGTTTAAAAATAAACTATGTGATTAAAATATGAATAACATTTTAAGAAACTAAAAGGAGGATGATAAAATCGTGTAAAACAATGACACAGTGATAAAATTATATAATGTATTAATAATATATTAATGCAACTCATCCTACACATCTTACTCATTTATGCAGAAGGGTGCACTGAAAGACGTATTAACTGTTTTACTATATTTTTTCTTTCAATATATGCAGTTTCAAATGCTGCATAATCTGATCAAAAAGTATTCTTTAGAAAGAAATGCAGTTTAAATAAATAAATTTTAATTCTCAAAAACTTATATTAATAAATATACTTAAAATACATATATCGAATGAATGAATAGAAAATTTTAAAGTAACTATTTGAAGAAATATAATTCATCCATGCATATCAAACAATCAAAATGAAATTCTAAAATGGGAAAAATAATCTAGCAACGGTGATTAAAAATTATAGTATAAAGAAAATATTTGAAGGGGAAAGACTATGCCCTTTTTTTGCATGTGTACAATGAAAGGAAAAGTGAAATAGGCTGTCATAAATTAAGAATATCGCCAAGTGAATTATTCTGAGAAATTGAAAAGAGCTTTTCAGATTGGTGCAAACTGAAAATAGTGGACCAAGGTAAATTTTCGAATTTCTCCTAAAGTTTCTCATTGAACGTTACAAATGGGGTAATTAGGCATAATTTGAGTTGTAGTATCGAATATGGAAAAAAAATTGGTAAGCCATTTTAAGAAAATATTCATTCTGTGTCAAAATGCATATGCTAGAATAGGACTATATATCAATTTAATTTATATCGTAAGTCGCGCTTTCTAGACAGGAAAAACGAAAGATGAATTTCGTCAATCGGCCCAGTAGAAAGGCAGATAGAGAATTGTTCTCTCTCTCTCTCTCTCTTTTTTTTTCGGGGGGGGGGGTATGCATATTAGATAAATTTCATTCCGTAGATTAATCATATTATTTAGATTATTTAATGAGGAATGCGTAAGGAATATATTAATTTGTGATTTAAACAGAACTTGAAAAGTTAAAGAAAAGAATTTTGCGCTAAAATTAGCTTTCCCTTTTCTAAATTCTAGAAGAACAAAAGGCCTATTTTTTTTAAAGTTATACACATTTTTTTAATTCGAAAAGATCTGCATTTAAAAACTTAGTCAAAACCATTTTGTAGAATGAAATTTTTTTGGAGTAATATTGATTAAAAATGAGTATAATTAATGCACTATATAGCCAAAAATCCCCGGGCACCTTAGAATTTAGATATTTTTTCGAATTTCTAGAGAAATACTTGGAAAATTATTCTGTAACTGCGGTTTTGTAAATGACATGCTTGAGCTCACACTTTCGAGTTCACGAGTGCATTTTAGAGAATTAACAGCAAAATGATAAAGAATAAAAAAATATTTTTGATCATCCTGCGTCATAAAAATTATCTGTAACTTTCGCAAAATATTTTACAAGGGTTTCTTAAACTGTGGGTCGCGGTGCCAGCAGCAGGGGTTAGCAGTTTTGATATTTCTTTAACTTATTATAATAATTTTACAATTACCAAATATTTTTACACAATGTATCTGAAAATAGATATGGATAAGACAATACAAACATAGAAAAAAAAACGAAAACATTTCGACGCATTCTTTTTATAGTATGTTCATTTTCCTTCCTTTACACGTCACTCCGTCATTTCGTCTGCTACTTATTTAAAACTTTCACATTGTTCTATGTCTTAAAATTAGAAATTAAAGTTAATGATCTAAAACTGCGATAATATATTACAGTACAAGTAAAAAAATTGACAGTTTCATTCACACGTGTGTCGGGTTTGCGCAATACTTATGGGGTCCCACCAAATTTTTGGTAAATATTATGGGGTCCAGGGGGTCGCGAAAAATATCTCAGTGAAAAAAGTTTAAGAAACCCTGCTATATGCAATATTCGCGTACATTTTCGTTAAATTAAGACGTATATTAACGAAGCTATAAAATTTATTTTTAAATTTTGCAATTCTTTGTCATGTTTTTTCCCCTTATAATATGCAGTGTTTTCATCCAGACTTAACGAAACTTACAGAGAACAATACAATATTCAGAAGAAACACTGACCTGAAATTTAAATGAAAACTGTGAATGTTCAATCATGTTTCAAAATTGTCATATGAGCATTCGATCATGTTTCAAAATTATCTTCTTGTTTGAAACACCATTTAAATTATAAATTTATTAAATCTAATAGCAGCCTATACATTGCACTGACAAATATTTTTTTACTAACAGTTTTTTTTCCTTGAATTTCAGCGATCACATCAATGTAACAGTGACAGCAGTCCACACGACTCAATCTACAGCAGAACCAATCAATGCGACTATTCGTTTGTATCTCCCTCCTTATGTAGTATATGATTCATCTATTTTCAACAACGCGACAGTTGATGGCACAGTGAAATTTAATCCAGAATTTGGAGGATTAGACATAATGGTAAAAATTCAAACGAAATATTTTATCATTTCGGCTCACAGTTTTAATCGTATTAAACGAATCCTACAAATTTTACTCGAGAGCTAATATACTTGAGAATGGTACTATCTTAGCATCCATCAATAACACCTTAATCCTCAATTAAACGGAAAATATTTCTTCTTTTGTACATCTAGGGACACTTTTGTTCGATTAATAAATATTCAAAATTCATTTCAATTTCTCATTTTATCTGAATTACAGGACAAATAAATTTAAAATTGTTAAGTTAAATTTAAAGTTAAATTTTCTGTTAACGTTAATAAACGAGACTTCTAGAATTCAATCCTGGAAAGTCAACAACATGTGTGCTTAAATTAAAAAGAGTATAAATTAATGTTTTAAAATAAAGAAGGTAAAATAAACAATGTTTATAAATACTTAACAATGTTTTTGCTTGAAGTTATACAAAATAAATAAATATAATTTAGAGACTGAAGCCACATTATCTAGCATTGCTATTCAATAATACGAAAAAATACTTGAGTTCGTCTTAGATGAGGGAAGTTTCGTTATGAATATTGCCAGCTAGGTTTCTGTTCACTTTACAATATTCTTTGCAGTATCTGCGTCGTCACTGAGTTCATCTACAACCACTAGAATAACGCACTCGCGTGACAGTCAAAATAATCTAATCATGCATGTAAGCAAATGATGAAAAAATATTCAGAACACTTTTCTGCGCAAACGTACAAATCACATGTATTAAATATTTATTCATTTTAGGTGCTTTTCATTTAAATACCTTGCATTACACTTATTAAATTAAATCAAATCTATATGCTCTTTCTTTCTCTCTCTTGCAATTTGTTAATAAAATAAAGACAGCATTTAATTTTGATATATATATTTCAGATACCGCAATTCTTATTCTCCGACTCAGCTACTATTGTGGTTAGATTAATAGCTGATCCTCGCAACGAAAGGGGTTTCGGCAGAGGAGAAATAAACGCCACTACACCTTACAGAGTTCTTTGTCTCCAAAACTACAGAGAGGAACCGTCAGCCAATCCTGAAACTGCTGAAACAATAGTTAATTGTGGACCTATAGATTATATTATGTTTGTAGTTAACAGTCAAGGTAAGTATAATAAGAGCAATTGAAACAAACAAATTGATTTTGCATGCTCAGTTTAGTTGCTATCACTTTGGTACTTGGATTTAAATTAACAATGTGTAAATTCCAAGTTAATAATGACACAAGCTGTTGAAATCGATGAAATAATTTATTTCCATTTTCGAAAGTTTAATTTCTAATTTCAGGTGCATAAAATTTTTTCAAACAAAGAATCTCCAATCTATATTAATGTAAGAGAAATGTATGCAATTCTATAAACAAAAATTCTAGGAAGAAATTTCTTTATAAGATAAAACGTTATTACTATCTGCAGATACTGCTTGAGATAATATACAAATTTGTTAAAATTTTATTAACAGAAATTTTTCAGTTAAAAAGGAAAGTGTAGCTGAGCTATTTATAAAATATGTAGTGCTCGAGGTGAGTCAAACTATATGCAGCACTAGGAAGTTAGAAATCAAAGAAAGAAGATCTAGCTGTTAATACTGAATTTAGACTTTTGATGTTAGTTATTTCATACACAAAAGATTAAAAATAAATATATAACATCAAAGTGCAAACCAATATTTAAAGCATGTTAATAATATAAATTATCAGAGACTATTGTGAAATGTAGTTCTAGATATCTGGAGTTGTCCGTTTTCAGAGGCATTATTTGATAAATTTTTAAATTAAGTTGTGAATGTCTTTTAATAGTTTGATGATTCCACTAATAGAGCTTATATCCACTAGTCAAAAAACTACTACTACTTTTGTGTACTTGTTCTAAAACTACTACTACTTTTGTGTACTTGTTTTAGTTTATATCCTATTTTTGTCTTTAAATTTTTTATCCACATAGAGAAATTATATGTTAGCTTAATGTTATGAGGCAAAAAGGACTTTTAAACTTTTCAAATCAGGATTTACTTGCGAGAAATGAATGGTTACTTTCATAAAGAATGATTCACTTATTGTTCATAAAGATTCTTCGCTTTTCTCAGATTATAAGAGAATTTAGACAAAAGTTTCTTTTTGCCAGTGTTATCTTCAATGCAAACATTTAGGGCATTTTCGGTCTTCTTCAGTGTAATAATGAACGCATGTTATCGAGAACACTTTTTCCGTGATCGGAGCACTTCTGATGTTATGATATATTTTAATCCACACTTTTTTAATCAATCCAACACTGCATTTTTCATGTTATAAATTTTAATAACTGATGCTGCTCTTTCACCTTTTCTTTCATAGTATATTCATAGCAGGACTTTTCTTTTTAATCCACAACAATGCTAACTCTATACAGGACAGAACACGAAAAAGTGCAGAGGGCAACACAATGTCGTTATAGATAAAAAGAGTATTGCCCTACTGTATTAACCTTTTCTGACATTTATTGAGTATAAAGACAAAAGATTATATATCAGGTCATTACATTACACTGTTGACATAATAAATTAAAGTAACAAGTTATTTAGATAAGAAGAAAACACATACAGATAAATTGGGATGCAGATAGTTGAGGTACAGGTATATTGGTATACAGGAATCAAGATGCAGATAACATGTTACAATTAATTAGGTGTTGCAATTTGACATTTGTTGGTATGCTTGGAGGAATCCTTTAGCATTTGGGAAGATGGATGTGATGTGAGTTTTAATGCTATGTTTTTTTTTTTTTTTTTTTTTTTTTTTTTTTGGTTTGGTGTTGGTTGTGTGCCGTTGTGCACAGATTTCACAGAATGCACTTTGCACAGAGTTCGTTGTGCGTAGAGTTCAATGTGCACAGAATTGTACGCGGCAGTATGGAGAGCACTTTGTGTTCTGAGCATCAGATAATAATGTAAAGTTTAAAGTTCATAGTTCATATATCTGAGCGTCAGAGTTTAGCGTACTGGTAGTGCGCTTTGGCAGTTTGAAGGCATTGGTAGTTGATGATGATCACTCACACAAATAGTGATGACTTAGGATAGGAGCACTCCCTGTTGAATATCATATTTGAATCAAGTGAGTACTTTAGATTGTCTCCATGGATAGTTAAATGGTGAAGCAGTAGACTGGAAGTCATTCTTCAGTGGAGGTGAGCAAGCAGTAATGATTCTCTGGATAGCTGTGTGGTGGTACTTAGATTGCTAGGCATTCATCATTGCGTCAGTTTTGTTCTTTATGAGTGGCATAGTTCTCTACCTTGTTGTTGTAGCTTATCTATAATTAGTTTGACGCTTTTGTAGGCGTGTCGATGGTTGATTAGGAATCTTTTGGATTCCATTCCCACTGGAGTAGGGTGTTTGACGTGTAGGTTGGCGGTAAGTGGGCAATGAAAGACATAATGATAAGGGTCGCCTCTTTCCTCACATGCACTCAAATCAGTAGATGTAAAATTTCTTTCAGAGAAATGTGTAGGGAAAGGACCATGACCTGAGATATATTGTGTCAAGAAATAGTTGGATACTGTGCGTGTATCGTCTATCGTTGGTATTAAGCTGTAAGTTGTGTTGTTCTTATGGTCTTCTGGATGTCCAGTGCTATTGGTGAGTTGGTGAATATTGGTGAGCTATTGGTAGAAGCTTTGAATAGCTTGTATAGATGACTGACTGTCTGTCACGATATGAATGGTGTCAGTTGGGTCTCGTTCATGGTGAGACGAATAGCGATTAATTCGGCCTGGTCGACACTGTTATTTGATCTTAGGGTGTCTTGCCATTCCGAGTGAACTTGTGCTGATGCTGGCACTGAGACTGGTACTGATGCGGATTGTTGCTATGCAACTCACTTTATTAATTTTGGATTCATCTGTGAAAGCTGTTATGTTGACGTTACGAGGAGGTTGGTTGAAGTTGCAATGGAGGTTATGGAGTTTAAAGGCTGGATGTATCTGGTATTTTTGTGGTTTTCCTTCATATTCATCAGGGTGGAAAATGGTATCTGCTAAATTTGCTGGTCTTCTTAGCTGTAATACTATTGTCGAGATTGCTTCTACTTAAGTTTCTATTGGTAGAGGAATAACTCCGGCGAGTGTTTGCAGCGCATTTGTTGAAGTTGTGACAACTCTTGTTATGCTGAGTAGGAACGGTGGCTAAAGTGAATTTAATAACCTTCTTTTGCGCTCTGTCATTGGAAATGCCCATATTGCTGCTGCGTAAGTGATGGTTTTGTTGATTACTGTTTTGAGTAACATTTTCATGATTTTGCTGTTGAGGCCCAGGAGTAACCTCTCATAGTGTTTAGGGATTGAGCAATTTTGGCGGTGGTGAGTTTCTTCTGTTGAAGGTGTTCGATCTAGTTAAACTTATCGTCGATAATTAAGCCAAGGTATTTAATGGACTTAACACATTTGATTTTATTGTTGCCTATTTTCAGAATTCGATTCCTGGTAATGAAGCGTCCAAGCTTGTGAATAATCAGGGCTTGACTTTTAGAGTTAAAGACCTGGAGCTTAATCCTGTGGCACAGCTTGTTGAAGATGTAGAACGTAACGTTGCAATTTTCTTGGAGATGGTCGCGGGTGGACGATAAAAGCGACATCATAGGTAAAAGCGACAATTTTGGTGTGCTCCTGCCAGGTGTGGTCAATAATGTGATTGAAGGTGATGTTCCAGAAGTCCGCACTCATACATGATCCTTGTGCGCATCCTCTAGATTGCTTTCTGTAGATGGCTGAGTTGTAGCAATGACTGTGCTTTTTCTATTGTCGAGGTAGAAAGTTATTAATTGGTAAAGATTTTTGGAACAGTCCATCTCTTCGAGGGCCTGTTTTATTGCTGGCCACCAGAGAGAGTCGAAAGCATTTTGGAGGTCCAGGCATAGAAGTGCAGATTGCATTTGGTGTTGTTTATTGTTTGAGATCTCTGTGAGTGTTGAGTCAGTTTCGTGAACATTGGAGCTATGAGGTTTAAATCCGAACTGATACTTCCTGATTTTGTAATTTTTATAGAGGTGATGCTTGACTTTTGTAATTATCAGTCGCTCTAGTAAATTGCCCACTGCTAGTAGTAAACTGATCGGACAGTATGAGGGCGGATCCTCTGGGTTTCTGCTCTTCTTGGAAGAGAAGACTAATTGACCGATCTTGAAGCAGTTTGGGAAACATTTGTTAACTCTATACATGGTGATTCGCTACCAGACTAACAAACCTCCAAGGTGTCTAGAGGGTACAAAGACGACTCGGAATCACATAGGAATGCAGGGTCGCAAATACCGTAGCTGCGAGCTATGGTGGAAAGAAACAGAGAAAAGGCACAGAAACAGCAACACATGAATGGGAAAGAAAATATTTTATTGAAAGGCTGTACTACAACAGGTGTTCGAAATTACGACAAAAAGTCATCAGGCAGGCCTGACAGCGGCACTGCATGGAATTCCTTACGTTCTGGAAGACTCCTGGCATGTCACGTATCCTCCCGGCAGCTATAGATATTAGAGCATCGAGATCTTCAACTGAAGAAACGGGCGTACCGTACACTAAGCTCTTTATGTGACTCCAGAAGAAGAAGTCCATGCATGATAGGTCCGGTGATCTGGCAGGCCAATGAACCAGGCCACTACAACCTATCTACTGCTGCCCAAAGGTTACGTCGAGGTGTCGGTGGACGTCAGTCGTGTAATGTGGATGGGCTCCGTTATGCTGGTGCCACATGGAGCGATGAAATAACGGAGGCACATGTGCTGCGTCAAGAAGTTCGGGCAGGACTTGTTTCAAAAAGATAAGGAGTGCCCTACCGTCCAAAGGGCTGAGAAATTTATCGTCGATAATTTATCGTTAAACGGTCCAATGAGATAGTCTCCAAGAATGCCGGCTCAGACATTGACCGAGAAACGCTCTTGAGCTGCACGTGGTTGTGTACGATGAGGGTTCTCTAAAGCCCACACATGGCTGTTATGCTGATTAAAAGCTCCCTCACGTGCGAAGTATGCTTCCTCCGTAATAAAAAAAATGCAGCATATGCGCTGTCTGTAGCACTCTGTTGCAGGAACCACGTAGCAAACGTCCTCCGGAGTCCTCAGGCTCTAACAATGGGATGCCATGAAGATGGTATGCCCTCATTTGGTTTGCTGCGAGTATCCTCAAGGCAATGGATTAAGATGAACCGATAGATTGGGCTATTGATCGAATACTCGACCTTGGATTTTCTTCTTCCACGCGTATGACCGTCTCCTTATTGCCAGGTGTACTCGTTATTGGCTGCAGATTCATTGTAGTTCTAGTTAAACAACCAGTCTCACGTAACCTTCCGTTCACACTTGCGAAGGTCGTGTGATGTGGGACACGCCTGTTCGGGTAACATTTCCGGTACAACCGCCGAGCGGCGTTGCCCATTACTATCCGCAGCTCAATACACGATCAGCATGTCGATCAGTTCATTATTTGAATACACGTTTATCCTACTACCTCGAAAAAGGATCTCAAATGGTGACTTCCAGATGGATCGCTGTTCAATAAACCTTCTGTTCAGCACCCTCTACTGCAAGACTGCCAGGAGGAATCTTCTAGAACTTAAAGAATTCCATGCAGCGCCGTTTTCAGGCCTGTCTGATGATTTCTGATCGTCATTTTCATTACCTGTTGCACGCATTCTGAAATAAAGAGAAGAGCGAAGACCCAAAATCGAATTACATACAAAGACACGTGCTAGCATCAAAACTCAAAAATAAATCAATAAGCGCAGGAGCAATAATAAGCTGCGCAAAAATTTGGTATTGGAGCCATTTTTCAAAATTTTTTATTTCAGTGTCATTTTTCATAATTAATTTCATATTTTCTTGACCGAGGGTAAAGGGAGAATTTGTGGTTAACTATGGCAAAGATTGTTAACTATCAGTGTGAAGTTTCTCAAGTGTCTGTTTTCCCTGAAGTCATCTCCAGAAATTTTCATGCTATTTTCCATCTATAGATTATGTTATATTGTAGACATCTATAGACTATATTCCACCTATAACGGCCCACCAGCGGCCGAGCAGTAAAGACGCTGAACATTGGTAGTTCGGTCCGAGGTTCGAATCCCGCGAACGGGATGGCTGCATGGGCGTTTTCGTGGTTTTCCCCATGTAACGTGTATACAAGCCAGTTTCCCTTAGAAAGTCCTCCACGAAGGCATCCCTCTCTTTAGGCAGGTAGCCCTCGTGTGCTTTGCCATAACTCAATAATCCTAATCCAATCCATGTATAGCCTATATATACAAAGAACGCCCATTCTTCAATAATGTGTTCAGCCATCGCGAAAAAAAAACGAATCAATGAACGACATGCACAAAGCCACTGCACAGAAATAATCATATAGCTAGCCACTAAACTTATCATGAGAGTATCATTATTGCGAATTTCAAAAGATTTAAAGTTACTTGATAATAAAACATCGTGTTTCTAAGTACAGTTGAAAGAAATCTAATGAAACTCAAGAAAAGATATGCATTGCCATTGTCATTTAGGCTTGCCATTAGGAGCTGAGAAAGCTGACTTTTAAGACTATATCATTTTCATAAATAGAGGCTGTGTATTTTTTTAATTACATAATGCTCCTCTATGTAGAAATCTAATATAATTTTAAAATCTGCCAAAAATATATTACCATTTACAACACAACTCAAACGAAATAATGAATACGAGTAATACAAAGTTTGCCACCCAACACGTACTCAACACGTACAAGATAAATCAAACTCAAAATTTTATTCCACATCTGCTTGCCACTGTTACCAGGAGAAAATCAAAAGCTTTAAGAGCTTCAAAGTAAATGATATAAAAGTTTCTCATAATGAAGTTAAAACTTTCACAGGATAGTTTCTCTAGCAGGCCTGTTTTTAGAAAAGCTATTCCTATTTCATATTGTAAGGTTTATCCTAATTTCCCTAACAGTTAATTTTTAGTTAAAAGTTACTTTCCTGTCCTCTCTGAATTTCAGCTTACAACTTTCGGCCAAAACGTGTTTTCAGAATCGCGATCAATTGCAGATGTAGAGAAGAAGTACTTGACTGTGAAGTTCTACTGACTTCGTTAGAGAGCCAGAGATTCTATGCATCGAGCGTTAGCCTTTTGGCTATATTCTTTCTAAAGCTATTATTACGCTCGACCGTACTTTAGGCTCTTGATAGCTTCGCCGTTAGTTTGCGTTAAGGGGCCAACTCTGTTAGAATCTTGATAGCTTCGGCTATATCTTTTTAGCTAAGTTTAGTTAAGTTTTATTGCTTATTATTCCTGAGTTCAAGCTTGGAGGCTCCAAGAAGGAGTCGTCTGTTAAATTTATTTTGAATAATAAAGGGTAATTAACCCTTCGTACGTTTACGTTTCTATCTCTCTGAATTAAGCGATTATTCGCTTACCAGTTCTCTACGTTCCAGACACATTGCAGTAACTTCTAGGTTTGGAATCTTACAACCTGCAAAAATTTTAAATATGATTTCCATACTTAAATCTAGGAAAGCACTCAGCTATAACAAAATTAACCATATCATCATCAAAGTAATCACTAAGAATGTGATACAATATCTTTCCAAAATCTACAATGAATGTTCTACAAGATCGTTCTGGAAATTGTTGAAAATGTTCAGTTGTTACGCTTTCTAAAATAACCTCTCAAATTACAAGTCTATAATTCTTCTTTCAAGCTTTATAGAGGTTTCGGAACGATTAATCCATAGCAAACTGAAAAATTGATTGAGAAAAAAAATTTTATGACTCGATAATTTATGAAAATTTATTTATAGAAACTGATCTGCAGATAGCCTTCCATAAAGAAAATCCTTAATAAAAGTACATTGAATAGGAAGCTGCGTTTGTACAACATTGTGAGATTTCTGCCTTTATAATAAGTTGTACAGATTTGTAATTTGTCAAATTGTCTTTTATTATATTTCATAATTTTAAATTTAATTTTGCTACTGTGTAATGGGTACTGTATATTGCACAAATCAAATTCTATAATTGTATAACTTAACATATAGCTAAAAATAGTAAATGAATCTGAGTTTTCTAAATTGTGATTTTTACTGTTTAAAAAAAAATAAAAATTTTTTGTTTAAATAAAAAAGTTCAATAGATAAAATTAGTTATTTTCTGTTGTTATAATCAATGATATTTGGAGTTTACTGTTTATTTTTTCATTTTCAGAATGTTACAATAAATTAGAATTAAATAATCCGAAGAAAATTTATAAATGCCAGCTTAGTGCGTCTTCGGCAGCAAAAAGAGAAACAGGACCATACAACATCAGAAGGAATAGTAAAAAAGGTTAGAGATGAAATTCTTTTCTTTCATTAATTCACATAGTATTAAATAATAATAGAATTTCAAGACTAATATGATTTCTGTATTTTGCGAAACAAGCAGAAGCATCTGCCTAGTTTAGTGATGCTCTCGAATTATATGAGATCTATCATTCATCTTTATTGAGGGGTCAGAGAAGTTGAAATCGACTCAAAAATCGATTTTTAAACGCCACCTCAAAAAATAAGCAACGAGGGAAAATCACGGGATAAAACAAAAACTATTTATTGAATATGCATGAAATTGATAAAAGAGGTTGGTGTGCAATTACTAGACGGCATGGCAAACAGTAAAGCAAAGACATCCAAACACGTGTATTACGACCATCGCATTGCGAAAGATCAAATGGGTCGGAAAAACGTGCACTGAAAACATGACGCAATAATGGATATGATACTTTCTAACTAAAATGCGTTCTTGACAATGGAGAGGAAAGCTGGCAATAGTGTCGTTAATTGCTTGTTCAGCTGGCAGTGGCGTTCATTCTTGCAGCAATGCATGTCGGAGCTCGTGGAGACTGCCTCGCGGCACACTGCGATCCGTCGTTCCAACATGTTTCCACACATGCTCTGTGGGATTTATATCCTATGATCTAGCAGGCCACAGCAAATGTAGAATACGTTCGCTCTCCGGATAACTCTGCACCACCTGAGCTCCATGCGGTCGGGCGTTATCGCTCATAAATATCGCGTCGTTACTTATTGCAGAGACAAAAGGACGCACAAGAATTTCGTCGCGATAAATCGGATGGCTGCGACGGAACCACCAGGAATTACGTAGAGGTAGGTGCAGCCGTTCGTTACTATCCCAACTCATACAAATAAGCCTCCTCCTCTGTAAGGGTCTCTTTCGACGTTATTTGGCGACCGATAGCATATCCCTGGCCCTCGCGATATCATTGCCCTTCCAGAATTGTTCTAGATGTTAAATCAAGATTCATCTATAAAGAGTGCGTGGACCTGCTGTTCTAATTGCGATGTCTGCTAGTGTCCAACTGCGATTTTCATGAGTGAAATTCAACCGCGCTCTGACGTGCAGTGGGGACAAAGGAACATAAACCACACGTCGTCGGGCGTATAGTCCACCTTCATGCAGTTTGGCGGGATATGGACCGTCCTGCAGCAGCAGAGAGATGCGACGAGAGCTGTATTGCTGTTAGTAATCTACTGCGTCTTGCACCATAATGAGAGGAAACGATCGTCTGCCGTTGCCGTAATCTTCCGCGACCAGACCCAAGTCTTCTACAAGGGTTTTTATCCCTTTAGTTCCACAGCCCCTGTTGATGACCCTACGATGCCCACCGTGCTCTTTCGCCATAGCGAATTGTCTTGCACCAGCTTGCAACATCATGTCCAACGCATTTCGTCGTGCAAATGGTGTCTTCGGTTCATGCTTTTTCCTTTGGTTGTGTCGGATTACACGGAAGTATCGTTGCTTCAGAACTAACGCATAGGCATGCCCGTTTCAAGGCGTTGTGTGGTGATTGCGGGATTGCGTTATATGCTAATTTTGGTTGCCTATTTGCATTCGGCGATACAACCTATACTTCATATGTAAACTGTATGTTTTAGTTCTCTTTTTTACATTTGTACCTTTTCTTTTAGCGTTTGTTGCTTATTTTTTTCAGCACAAGTGTATTTTATTATTGAATAAATAGTACAAACATTTTTCATACGTCAATACTGAATTATATTAGTTAACTGATGAAACAGATGTTTGAAAGGTTTAAAAGTTTCTTGAATATCTCACATCTGATGGGATATTTAAAGGAATTTCATTTCAACTGATGGTCTAAATCAGCGGTTCACAACCTTTTGACTAACCCGTACCATCTAAACAAATATTGAAAAATTTCAGTACCACAACAACATTTTTCAAAGATTATTTTTCAGTTTCTTAATAGAAATATTAAAAATATATATATTTTGCCGTTTCCGCAACCTATTGGTCATTTGTATAAAATACGCACATGTACAAAAATTATATTAAAAATTGGTTACCATTTTAATTATCAAAATTTAGTTTATAATACTTTAATTATAAAATATAGTCCGAAATTTGGCCCTGTTTAAAAGAGATCAGTTTCTTTATGTTTAGTCTTATAATCAGTTTAATCTTATTTCACTTGGTTTTAACTGTAAATTAGAATCCACTTTTAATTTTGTTCTGTATTTATTTTTCAAATATAACGTGAAAGAAAATCCTTGTTCATACAAATAGGTTGTGCAAAGAGGCAATACAAATTTAACAGCTTTATTTGAAATGCCTTTAAATACTTTTTTTTTTTTTTTTTCCCGGTTTGGCCCAAAGTTAACAAATGTGTTATTTTTGAAATCTTCAGTTAGAATACGATCACAGGAAATTTCTAACAATTGTTCCTTTTTTTTTTTTTTTTTTTTTTTTTTCGTAAAACATCAGGTACATTTAAATAAAATGGATTCCTAATCCAATTTTCTTTTTCATTATCCTCGGGAAAACACATGTTGCAATTATTTATCAATGAAAAGAAATGATTTTTAATATCGGATGCAAATTCATCTTTTATTTTCAAATTATTTTCGGTTGCAAAATTTTCTAAAAGGGGTAAAAAGCTTAAAATATTATTATCCAATATTTGATTATTAGCTCGAGTTTTTTATCATTGTATTTATTATATCTTCATTGCTAAACAAATTAGCAATTTGTACTTTAATCCTAAATTTAATTCATTTTAACTTTCCAAAAATATCAGCTAGATATGCTAAACCCGTCAACCATAATTCACTAAATAAACGTTTTTGCGATTCAAAGTTTGAAAGACACAGGAAAATTTGAATTTCTGACTGAAGACGATTTAAAACTTTGCCTCCGGATAACCACCTTACTTCGCCAATGTAAACAGAAGCGTTTCATGCTCGCTGCCCATATCTTGGCATAAAATGGCAAATATTCTTAAATTTAAAGGCTTTTAATAAAATTGACAATTTTCACAGCTTGATTTGAAACGATTTTCAGGTTGTCGGGAATCGTTTTGGCTACTAAAGCTTCACGATGAATGCAGCAGTGAGAAAATTTACTTTCAGGTACGACTTTTTTTATTTGAGAAATAATACCAGAATGTTTTCGTGATAAAGCCAGAGCTCCGTCACTGCATACGGCAATGCAGTTATTCCAAGGAATATCATTCTCAGACAGAAAATTATCTATTACTTTGAAAATTTCATTTGCAGTTGCTCTCTCATGAACAGTTTCATAAAATAAGTACTCTTCGGCAATTCGTTTATCTTCTTCGAAACGTACGTGAACTAATAATTGAGCAAAGTTCCTTATATCAGTGCTTTCATCCAACTGCAATGCGAAATACTCACTGTGTTCTATTTTTTGAATAAGTGTCTCTTTAATGGAATTTGGTAGACTTACTGTATCATTTGATAACGGAATATTATTAAGTTCATGAGCTACTTTTTTGCTGAATAATGTTAAAACGATATTTTTAGCTGCTCTTAACATAAGGTTTTATTCAATAGTCTTGGCAATTCCTTCCAATTATTCTTGGCAATTCCTACCCAGTCTTGGCAATTCTTAGGCTTCCTAGGTAACTAGCTTCCAAAGATTTTTCAGTTGAAGTAACAAAATCTTTCACTTACTTATTTACTATTTTTGAGCTCCAATAATTTCTTCTTAAATATTATTCAGATTTATCCTTTAAATTGGCATGCTAAGATTTCAGACGTCTTTTAATAAACGACGGTTTTATGCTTTGATTGGATAATAGTTCACCGCAAACAACACATTCAGGTTGAGGGTCCATTTCAGCTTCATTTCAAGAAAACCCAAATGATAAATAACATTCATTATATTTTCTATAAACAATTTTTCTTCTCAATATTATTGATGCTAGTAGATTTTCCTGGATCCATCACAGGTGAATCGTCATTTTTCCGCTTAGCCATTTTTCCATTTTGAAAATCTATGTTTGTTTTATTATTTTTTCACAAATATTTGAATGCACAATGTATTACGAGTTCTTCAAAAACACACGACGATACTCTCAAATCGCATAGAAACGTAAGGAATATAAAGCAACATGAATACAAAATAGCTGTTGTCAGACAGCAAATCGACGTAAAAAAAAATAATTCTGATTGAAAATAGAGCAACATGAGCCCGGAAATTGTGTCAAAATAAAGTGTAAACATACTAAGAAATTGATCAATTCTAAAGGAATTAATAAAATACTATTTTATTTTTATAGGAACTTATTTTTATTTCTATTAAATACGACATCCATTTACATTATTCCCTTTAAGGTGTATCAGAAACTCCTATACCGACAATGTTAAACTGGCCATTTTCGATGTACCTTTTCTCAAAATCTGCTGCAGATACAAGCTTGAAATTTTTTCTGTAATTAAAGTATACCTATCTGATTACACTGAAATGAATTTTTGAAACATTTTGAGTTTTAGAGTAAATTACAGGATATTTTGTTAGGCATAGTAAAATTTAGCACTTTTCTCACACAAAAAAATTTAATTTTTTTTCTAAGTTTATTACGAAAAGCTCATTTCAGTAAATATTAGGGAACCTAATAAATAACCCATAAAAAGTTTAGATACCTGTGAGCCGTAGTTCCTCAGAAAAGGTACATTGAGTATAAAAAAACACGTTTGGAGAAAAACGCGTCTTTATGTAAAAATCCTCATTGATCAAAGCAGTAGATGACAAATTAAAACTATATTTTTTTACAGTTCTAATTTTCATAGAGATTAAAGAATGGTATTTTTAGAAAGATAAAAGTGTAGAGAATTTGAAAATGCAAAAATCCGAAATCACAATTTTTTGAAGATTTTGGGGTTCCAACTCCCCTTAAAAACATCATTTATGACAAATTTTATTATATCTATGGCTCAAAGAATTTTTGTGAAAATAAAAACAGATTATTTTGCTATTTGTTAAAATCTGGGCGGCTATTGACCGCCCAG